ATACCACCGCTCTACTCCTGACAACAACTAACAGGTTCCTTAGTCTTCACGTGAAGATTAGAATTTGTTACAAAAACACAAAAATAGGCCATTTTGCTAGACAAAGGATAAAGAACCAAGCCAACGTTTTCATTATTTTAATTGTCTGCAGCTGTTTTAATGTAACATCTTTTTTSTTTCATCYAATGAATATACGGTAGCCAAATATRTCGAGTGTCGCTYAATCGCMAATGTTGGGCTCAAATCTTTACATTTATTCATTTTTACCTCATTTTCTATTTTCCGATCACAAACTCAACATCTAAATTGAGTTTGTTTTAGGGAACATTTTCTAGATACTAGTTAACAGTCCATTAGAGCGATTGGTATGATCACAGTTGACTATTATATATCAACAATGTTGGCATTCTAAATTSCTGGTTACTGGCCACAAACACAAAAAATAGCAGACAAAACAAAGTTAAAACGGAATTTTACGTTTAAGAAAAGTCATCACCAATTAGCCCTGCAACACAACAACAATTCCAATAAATACCTGCTAAGTCGATTAACATCAACAGGAAAACAAGATGAGTGTACTCCATGGATTATAACAGCCCTTTAGCTAAGTGTATAGTAGTTTTTCTATCATCAATTGATTCCTTGCCCCAACAAATCTGCATTTATTTTAAGCCTGCGACTTGACCTGGTATTTTACTCCTCTCTTGGCAATCCTTTGCAGTTGAGGTCATAAAAACCTGCTGGAGACGTCACCCTTTTTGTGCTTTTTTTTAATTCGGAGTGTCTAAAYGTCAGGCATCAATTTTTTTGTGAAAAATCGTCGGAAATAACCGTAATTCCAATTAATACATCACGGGAAATGCACTAAAGACTGCAATAATACTGTTCGACAAGTTTCAAACATAAGCACTGCATTTTGAGATTTTTTGACTGCCTGACGTTTAGTCCCAGAACTAAACGTCAGGCACTCGGATTTTTTTTTTTTTTTTGAAAAATCGTCAGAACAACAGTAATTTCAATTGATACAGCAAGAGAAATGCAATAAAGACTAAAATAATACTGTTCGTCAGTTAAGTTTGTATACACAAACACGCGGCACTTTGAGATTTTTCGACTGCCTGACGTTTAGTCCCAGAACTAGTCCACTTTTTGAAARATATAGACATACCAGAGTTGTGAAAGTGAAATTTTCTAACCCTTTCTGTATCAGACCGTCCCCTTCAACCATTACATATACCACAACAATTTATCATTGTCCCAACAGCCTATAATTAGACCATGGGCAGTTAATGATAAAAATAATTGGTTCACAGTATAAACAGATAAAAAAAGTGTTTTATTTSGTTCTATAGCCACAACAACAAAGACAAACAAGACAACAAAGTATATCAAATGTATAAAGTGAACAATAGATGCATTAAATGTCAGTTATAGCATATCAAATATCATCCTTATCCCTTCAAAATGAAGAAAGAATGGTCCAGTTATAGGTCCTGCACCATTCACTGGATGCTTGGGGACAATGATAAATTGTTCTGGTAATGGTTGAAGGGGGACGGGGAGGGTCACAATATTTTGCCCGTCTGATATCAGTAGAAAATTTCACTTCCCCACTATGGTTGGTCACCCTATTCCCAGTGCCCACTTTTCAACTTCCACCTCCCCTCCCCCTGCTAATTTTTGCCCAAGACCTTATTTCGGTCTTTATTCCATTTATTTTGTACTATTTATTGAAATTACAGTTGTTCCGACGATTTTTCATAAAAAAGTGGACTGCCTGACGTTTAGTTCTGGGACTAAACGTCAGGCAGTCGAAAAATCTCAAAGTGCCGTGCTTGTGACCGGGGCTTGTGACCATACAAACTTGTCGAATAGTCTTATTTCGGTCTTTAGTGCATTCCTTTGTTGTATTAATTGATATTACGATTGAACCGACGATTTTTCACAAAAAAATCGACTGCCTGACGTTTAGTTCTGGGACTAAACGTCAGGCAGTCGAAAAATCTCAAAATGCAGTACTTGTGTTTGAAACTTGTCGAACAGTATTATTTCGGTCTTTAGTGCATTTCCCTTGATGTATTAATTGAAATTACGGTTATTTCCGACGATTTTTTACAAAAAAGTTGCTGCCTGATGTTTAGTTCTGGGACTAAACGTCAGGCTGCCTGACGTTTGAACAATCCGTTTTTAATTTTCATATCGATCTACAGCCAGTTATCAATAGCAAGAAAGAAGTTCGGCGAAGCCGTTTAAATACCGTGAAAAGAAATCTTTATAAAACTGAAAAGACCTTCGATTTTAACGTTCAAAGTGATTCCGTAAAAGATAGTCTATTTACTTAGCGTGCTTTCTAAGACTAGCGTCTGTAAATATCTTTTGTCACTTGTGGTAATTTATTCAATTATATAACTTTCCACTTGTACATTATTATCATAGAGTGCACGCAATATGTCTGTGAAATATCATCAAAGATTTTAGTGACTATATAGTTGTTGGTTAGTCACTACTAGTCACTATCACCCAACCAGACAAATGAATTTAGAGACTCCACAAACACACGAGACAATGTGAACAAAAGCTTGAATTAGTTTATTTGTTCATTCTTTATTGAAGTCATGTTAGAGTGATTTTCATCTGTCTGTGAAACAATTACTAYTAGTCAGTKTTTAATAGTGTCTAATAGTTGYATTMMAATARAAGAAAGCAATGGCTGTAGAGTCTACTAGCGTCTATTAGCGTARGAACTATTTCACAGTCCGATGAAAATCACTCTAACACCGAAACGTATCTCTAGTAAGATCTAGTAATGACTATTATAGAAAACGTTTCCTCGCCTCAACAGATCTTAGAGTCGTCACACTTGTACCATGAATTATGATCAAAATAAACAGTAAATATTAGTGTCTATTTATTGACTTATAGTAGATRTTACTGAACCAGAACACATTTCATGAAAACTAAAGGCAATACACAAGAGACTTGACAACTGCCATCTTTATTTCATGTACAATCAAGACACAAGACAAATCTAAAGCTAAAATAACCACACAAGACTAAATGAAACGCGTTTGGAGTCTTTATTCTCTTCGCCGCAGCAAAATTATGACAGAAGACATTGTAAGGCTAAATTGAAAATACCGTAACAATAGCACACCCAGTACGCAACGAGTATATTATAGAGTCATCACACTTGCACCGTGAAACAAAATCAAAGAAGTAGTAACTATTAGTTTTTATTTACTGACTCATTGTATGAAATAGTAGATATCACTGAACCACAACAATTGTTAAAAACAAAAGGTAATACACAAGAGACTTGGAAGCCAAACAGTGTTA